AATATTATGGTTTATGTTATAGTAATACAATGCTGATAAATTATAAATTTAATAGCATGTATCAATCCTTGTGGTTTTAATTTACATGAGACTCAAAAGGTCAGGACAAGTCATAATTTGTAAATTTCCTACTGTACTCATTTGATTCACATTTTCTGCAAGACTAATGTGAGAGAATGAGTCTCATTAACTAGTGAGTCTATCAGAATGCCCATCATCCACATCCTGAAACTTTGTTATTCTCTTCCTCTCATATGCAGTAGTTCTTATGAAGTATATGCAGGGTTTACTAAGGTTTTCAATTAAATTTCTTTGCATTTGATGGAGGAAATTCTATGCTATAGTTTACTGTGCTACAGCCACCTGGCTTTTCTGTTCCTTGCATTCCCACCTCAGGGATTTGTACTTTCTGTTCCTTTTGCCATCAGAACTTTTCCTCAAGATCCTCATGATAATAAACATCATTCAGGTTTCCTTTCAAATGTGAAGACTAAGAGAGACCTTACTTAATCATCCTCTCTAAAATATCATAAAACAGCCCCTTCTCCCATCTATTCTTTTTTTTTATCTCTCTGCCATATTTTATTTTCTTTATAGCATTTAAACCATTTGAAAGTATTATTGGTATACGTGCTCTTGTCTATCTCCCCACAGTAGAATGCAAGGTTCATAATGGCAAAGATTTTATCTTTTTTGTTCATCTTTGTATCAAGACCAGTGTCTTGTACATGGTACCTTATAAAAAAATAGTTGGTGAATGAATGAAGAAAAGAATGAACAAAAGAATATTGCCAATGGAACATCCAGTTGTGGGGATTTGTGATGTATGGAAACAAGAATAGCAATGAAACTCTGTCATTAGAAACAAGACTTAAAATACCTTGTACTTCTATGATTAGAAAATTCACACTACTGTGTTATTCTTAATTTAGTATGAATGGTGTTACATTGAATTGTGTTAAAGTAAGTTGGGAGGGGGAAGGAATGTGTACTTACAAGTGCACATGTGTTTCAATTATTATCTCGTTTTTTCCTGTGGTTTTTGCTCTTGGACTTAAAATGGACTTAAAATGTTAGTGCTAAAGAACAGCAAGTATTATACAGTTGGTAATAGGGCTACCTGTGGTTGATCCAGCCTGGAAAGCCATAGTAATGATGCAAGTCTAGTCAATGATGAATTGCTGCGAATCAGAGTGCATCAAGGAGCATCTCAAAACCTTGCTGAAAAGTTATCTTGTTAGAACAATGATGGATGCAAAATTGGAAGTTATAAGTATCTAAACCAGCAGAGTGATGGGCAAGAATCAGAATAATGCT